TTTAAAAGCTTGTTTCCGCTTGTTCTAGCTTTTAGCGCGCGCGCATGGCAGATTGAATCTTCTAATGACCACTAAAGGCATAACTTAGCGCTCAATGACCTCGTTTACTTGTAGAGGAGACCAAGGATAGAAGTAAGTACGAGACAAACGTAATATTGCAAGTATATCTAAAACAAATGAATTCAAACATGGTCTTACAGTTTAACTCCTTGATTCTACTTTTTCTCAAGTAACGCGAGATGTTAGGTTGAGAGCAGTTATTTGTACAGTGTGTTTGTGCCGAAAAATCACATCGAAAGTAATGTTTCAATCTCTATTATTTTTGTAAATATGTATTTTTATTTATTTAATTGTTTATTATTATTATTTGTTTATTATATATTCATATAACGATAGTTTAAAATTTATTTATATATTTAGATTTTTATTTATTTAAAATATTTATAAATAAATTTAAAGAAATACTATCTACTCGGTAAAAAACATTTTATATTTATGTTGAAAACATCCACTCAAGTCCGTAATAAATTTTGTTCTAAAATTTTAATATATGTAAGTATTAATTTAACATAATATGATTATTTAAATATTTTGTAAATTTATATTCAACATTTCTTAATAAAAGTAACATAATTTATGTTCGACAAAATTGTTTTTAGATTTGTACCTAGCTAAATTTTTTAATGCTTCAGCAAAACTATTCTTTCGTGTACGTAATTTGAAAATTGGTTCCCTCGAGGCGACATTATCGAATAGACAGACGTTGTTGCGAATCCGATGATCGCTGCGATACCAGTGGCGATAATGAGACGCGTACTTTAATCGCGTTCCGCTCACTGAAATGAAATACAGTTAATCTTCGTTATTGCAAGTACGTCGTGACGTCGACGCGTAATCGTTATATACGGCGTGAGATGGACGCGAGCAATTTTGATCAATGTAACAGTTTCCTCAAACGAGCGGAACGCCTCCGACCTGCTCTTGCGAACGCGAGCGTATCGTTTACGTGAGTCAGTCTCGCTTAGGTCGAAAAGCGGTTCTCGTTTCGGGAACAAAATCACCGGCCTGAAGAGCGGGCATGCTTCTTGCTTATTTTTTCCCCAAAAACAGCCAATTTCGTGTAATCTTCTTGCGAGAGCGGGGCGTGGCCCAGACCACAGGGATACTCGGTAGGCAACTGCGACGTGTGTCATTAACCAAATCCTTCAACTGACCGTGATCGGTCTCCGCTTCTCCTTTTCGAAGTTGAATGAATAAGTTTAGAATTACGAAGGTGCGGTCTTCCTGAATTGATCCAATTAATGATTGCATAGCAATAATCTTTAATACGTTATATCTTTTAAAAAATTCCGAGGAATCGAAGAATATCGCTAAGCCGATTTGATTGATATGACGATTAATATTGGACATCATAGAATCGTCAAATCGTCACTTACTGTCAAACTTAAAACTCAATCTCAAACTAAAGCTAAAATAATAACATATCATAATTCAATTGATCGTCAGTTTGACAATGAAAATAATGTGATGTTACTAATATTTTAAAATCTGTAAAGTTATCGAGTGACATTTTAATGTTGCGACTATTCTTTGAGATTTCTCAAATATCTTTTATTGTCTCGTGCGGGGTACATGTCCGAGTGTAACCTAGATGTTCAGTTGTACTAAAGTTTCGATTGGAGTACTGAAGATCATGTTGCATGGAAGCATAAACATTTAATCCTTAATATAAACGATGATTTTCCAGTTCTTTACTAGACACGATGGATCGTATCCTGAGTTAATTTTTATTACTTTTATAAGTATAAAAAGATTATAAAATAAATCAAGTAAGTAAGGAAAGAGATAATACAATCGAGACTAGATCTTAGTTGCCTAATAATAAATAATATTTTTATATGGGAATTCTAAATACATTTCTCAGTTACATAAACTGTGCACCACACTTACTGTCAAACTTAAAACTCAATCTCAAACCAAAGCTAAAATAATAACATATCATAATTCAATTGATCGTCGGTTTGACAATGAAAATAATGTGATGTTACTAATATTTTAAAATCTGTAAAGTTATCGAGTGATTCTCATATACAATATTTCAACGTCTTTAAAAAATATTTATAAAGTTGTGTATTAAAAAAAAAAGAGGATTGAGATTATTATTTAGTCGAATGCTCTCAGTATTTCAAAGAAAAGAAATGCACATAATATGAATGACCTAACCATGTACTAAAAGGGTAATATCAAAGGCGATTGAAATAATCTCACGAAAAAAAATCACATGAAAATTCTTTCCATCTGTAACACATACATCGTACTTTAATATCTTAATTGAACAAAAAATCTCCAAGCACACGTCTCCATCGCAATTCGAGCGCGCAAGAACTTAACAACCGGGATGCAGGCGTAAAAGCGTTTTAGTACCGCGCTATTAAACAGCTAATCTATTTTAAAATTAATGTCGGAAAAGAGCTGATCTACTATCGCGGCGAGACTAGTCTGGCCGGTCTGACCGATTGTCGTTCATGAGTTCTCCTTCCGTTTGCTGAATGACGATAAACAAACATTGCACATCGATGCACGCGAAGATCCATCTTCGCGCGGACGTTACGCGTGATCGACCGTAAACGCGTCTTCGACTATGAGGTAGAGGTCCCATCTGCCGACGATACCGTCATACCCCACCGCCACCCGGTTGTTCCCGCCGCAGAATCACCCTCCACTTCCGCCTGGCTTGGCAGCCACTCCTCTCAGCAGCCTCCGTTGATACTTCCTCTCGCGTGCGTGTATCTCGTCAGTCGGCCTGGAGCCACGTGCGTGTACTCGCTCGAGTGGCTGCCGCACGAGCGACACATCGGATAGTGTCACTTCGCGCCGATGAATCGCGGATCGAATCATCCTACCGCGCTTCCGATGACAGATGAATGTCTTCGCACGGAGTTATCGGTGTAGAAAGATGATTACATTTCCCGATTCATTCGTCTTCATTATCGAAAAATCGTTCTATGAAGCCGGCTATAGAGAATATAACTTCTAATGGACCAAAAGAGATATGGGCTTACTGACGACATACTTACTGGCGCGGGATAGAATAATAGAAGAACTTGGCAAAAAGCTGAAGAATAATTGAAAAGCAACTTTGTTGATTTGTTGATTAATTTGTGTCAAGATGTTGAAGCTAACGCACAATGTAACTAAGATAGTAAATGTTACTCTACCTTATCGAGGAACAAATGTGACAAGATATTAATGTAGGATTTGTACGTAACGAACCCAAGATCTGGTAATTTGCAAATGTTGAATGCCGACTCAAAGAAGGCTCGAAATATCTCACCGCGGGTTCATCGATCAAGCTTACCGGGACGCGGCATGATTCGCCGCCAATACAGACGTATGTAAGAGAGTACTTCGGGGAAGAACAAAGATATCATCGTAAGCTGAGAGCAACTAGGTAGCTCTCAAAGGTGAAGACAGACAGTCGGTTGGAGGTTCAGAGAACTAAAAATATCAGTCGGTTCCGCAGTTATGCGCGCCCGCAGTCCTGCCACGTCGTACTCCACGCTGGACAATTTTACCGGCTGGAGAGGAAGAGTGATATCTCCATGAAACAGGGCCTGCCTTTAATCTCGCGGACGGCAATTCGCGGTAAACGACTATCAGGCACGATCGTCGTTACCGCAACGAGCCCGTCGACAGACCGGACATTCACGCGAAACGCGATTACGCCGCGTCTTTATGCATAAACTACGGGTGGGCTACGTCTTCATTTACTACCACTACTACCTAGTCGCTGACATCTGTCGTCGTCTGCTATTGCTATACGTTGCTCTCATTGGAATAACATCGGAAATAGCAGGTATAAGAATTAAAATGTCAAAACAGAGGCTATGTATTCGCGATCGTCTATCAGTCAACCTTGCATCGAGGAATTTTTTTTATATTTTTGAGTTATTTATTCTTTCGGGTATATTGAAGTACCGGGGTAAGATCTCTCCCCTGTGTATGTTATTTAGGGAACTGAGGTATATAGTAATGAAGGCTTGCGTTCTTCAAGGGGTAGAGACGTCAAGCACGATCTTTTGATCTTGTAACGATTTGCACGCGAGAACGAAACGTCAAACGGTTTCGTTGGATACAAACTAGTTAAAATGCATGAAATGTGTATTTTTTTACACATCGTTTCTTAGCTGCCTTGAACGCCGGCTGGAAGAGATATAAATCATGCTGCGCTATAATAGGAATCTTTGCGGCATATGTAAGATACACAGACTACCATTGTTGGAATCATCGCTGAAATTTTATTTATGATTAAATGCTTACAATTAAACGTTTATATATGTCATAAACTTTCTATTCTTATGTAAGAGTAATTTCTGTAAGTTCTTCAACTTTGCAAATAAACAACTAAATAACGAAAGTCTACACGGTATGAGCTAGATTTTAATGCTTAAATTTTCTTTTGGTGTAAATTTTATATATTAAGGAGTTTTTGCAATACTCTGTATCCAGATACAGTAAACGTCATATGCATATGCAGTTTGGCTTTTCAAATAACGTGATTTTAACGTTTTCCTTACCTAGATACACAGTATTGCAAAAACTCTCTATTGTATTATATACATATCCAATTCTGCAAACTGTGTAAACCATTTTCAGTTTCATTGAAAGGTACAAATATAGACAGAATTAGAATAGCATATAATATCCCAAATTAAATTGATAAACAATTTAATAATATTGATATTATATATAATACAAGGCATTTTAAAAGAATATTAAAATTTCAATTTGTTAAAATTCACATCGAAACATTTATGAAATAAAATAAATGCAATTCACTTGAATAATTGCTTTAATGGCTGCAATCATAGGCATCTGCTCTGCATAACTTCTAAAAAAAACTTTCCCTATTCCAACGTCCTTACGCTACTAATTCGTTTAAATCAAGATCCATCTATATTAGGTTTCAGATCGAGTTCAGACTTAGAGCGCAGTGTCAAGGCCAAGAGTTCATCTCGCGACAGATTCGACGACGGTGGTACTCGTTGGAGGATCGAACCTCAAAGTCTCCGGGCTCACCGACGGTATTTCACAGCGCGGTTGTTTGAAATTCTTCGCGTGGAGTCGTGCCCGTATTTATAGACTCGCGTGTGGCGGTGCGTACGGTCGCGTATGCGAACGCGCGGTACACGCGTTCACGTACGTAGCTCCCTCGTCTTCCGTTCTCAAGGGTGTGGGGTAGGTAGGCATAAGGTAGATACGCGTCGGAACAGCCGTCGATCCCGAGCCACGTCGAGCCCACATTTGCAGGGAACGAGCGGCAGCACGTCGCGATCATGACGCGATGCGTCCACAACAGGAGCACCACCGGCCTGACTCGCCGACGAATGCATCTCTGTCTCCGTCGTCGTCGAACCGTCTGCGCTCGTCGTCCTGCTGGCTGCGATCCACCGATTCACTTCCGGGCATGATCGCCGGCGACACCGCCACGATCTTCCGTGTCCTCGTTGTCTTGCTCGTCCTCGGTTACGCGGTCACCGCTAATAATCTGGTAAGTGCCTTATTTACTTATTTAAAAGAATAGTTTTACTGAAGATCAAAAAATTTAACTAGATACAGATCTGAAAATGGACATCAAATTATGTATGATGCTGAAATTGGTTGCTATATAATGTTAAAATTTGTTGTAGCATTGCTCATGAATTTCCTACATGATTATTTCGATGGTCCAACAAAATTATTTTTAGATCTACTTAAATTTTTTTAGATACTTTAGCAAAATCTTTTCATGTACATATTAATAGCACCAATAAAGAGCGTTAGGACTATAAAATTTTCAATTCTTTGGGTTTCTCAAATGGTTTTCACCCGAATTATATCGTCAGTTGCAATAGAAATAAAATGTTAAATGCAGAATTAGGAAGAAAATTAAAATTGAAGTTTTATAATCTTTTAAATTGTATTAATGCATACAACATTAGAAAATGAATATAATTGAAAAAAAATAGTTGCAATGTTATTTATTAGAGTCGTCAATATGCTCTATTTTACCGCAAGTTTGATATTTTCGTCAATAATAATGAAAAATACGAAATCACAATGGTATTTAAATTAAATGTGATGAAGGAAATTTTAGATTCAAATATTAGTAGAAAAAAAGATCATCACTATTGATGACAAAACACCAAATATATATACAGATTGTAATGCAGTCACCACAGATTTTTGTTGAATTTGAAATCAATTATTTATCAAATTGATTATTTGAGCACATATTTTTGCGAAAATTAGAAGCTGCATAGAATCGCATTATTAGCTGAAAGGTCTCTGGTAACTACTATCTGCAGCACAGTGGGCAATAGTTTTCATGATTACGATACGTTCAGCCTCTAGGGATGCAGAAGTATCGACCTCGCATCGTATTACGGGAAGCAAGGACTTTCCTGACGGATCGATTATTGTTCGTAAAATCGTTTAGCTGGGAAAAACAGGGTATTACACGTACCGTATACCCACTTAATGTACTGTAATTTTGGATATTTATCGTGTACAAGTTTACTTAATTGGTTTGCCGAATCGTATCTGGTAATATCTAGCCGGCAGTCGGTTAATATACACCGTAATTTCAGAAAGCGCGTGTAATCACGCGCTTCAAATTTGATGTAGAATAAATTGATATTGACCTGGATAATATAAATTTGCGAAAAATTATATTTAATCTCGAGTTGCCGCTACGCTTATATATAAGCTATATACAATTTTATATGTCCGCTATTATTCACTTAATAAACTAAAAACTTTAAATACAATATATACGCGTAGATAAATACTTTCAGTGGAAATTTATTCAGTGGAAACAAAGTCGAATGTCCTGAAAAGGGCTTCGCACAAAAATTAAAATTGTTAAGTGCGCGTAATTAGTACAAAGAAAATATTCTTATGCTAAACTCATTTGAAACAAATCCGGATTAATGTAGTCACTTTATCAAAAGTAAATTGGTAATTAGTAGATAGATTAAGGAAGATGGAAAGGTTCAAGAGGCCTAAAGCAACCGATAAAGCATCGTGT